CTCTTCGGCTGTAGCATTGGAAGCGAAATAGAGGGGGAAATCTGTGACGTTTCGATGACGTAATTGATGCTATTGAAGTGTTTCGAAATGCTTAAATGACTACGTTTATACGATTCGATTTACGTCGAAGTTATAACATCGATGTTGCAAAATTGGCTAATCATAGTCATTACTTTAGAAGAATAGCTTCTAGAATGGTCTAGTTCCTTTACGCCGTATGCCGGTACGCCGTATGCTGGCTCCATGGGACTTCATCTTGTAACAGTACAATAGTGATATTTTGTACGAGTATCGTACGCTTGATTTATCTGGGGACGTCATAAATCGATGCATAAAACATATTAAGGGGATCCTAAACCGATTACCGAACTTGATCGAGGTCGATAGTGCAAACTTTTTAAATTCCAAATTCGATAATAGTGACACAGTATATACAGTAGCGCAACTCTCTTGATTTTGACTGTGTTCCAAAATTGACTGCCAGTACTGAAAATCTATAGTGCACATAACGTAAACTGTAGCATTTCTGTGCTGGCAGTAAATTTGGAACACAGCCATCATGTTGGCCAAAACGGAGTGCGCATGCGTGAAATAAGTAAGTTGCCCCATCTCATATTTTCCTTCTTTATTGCTTTCTCTCTCTCTATTTAAATGACCGTTTCAATGTTCCATTTAAAGTTGAGAGCGGTTAAGAGTAGAAATTTGGAGAGAAATACAACGTGCATTGTCTATTTTTTTTAAATTTTTCTACATTTTTTCCTTATTTTTCAATATATTTACAATTTATTTTTATTAATTTTCATTAAATTTAGATTATTTCATTGCAATAGTGGATTTATTCGCGTTGCATGCTCCAATATGCTCCTACAATAGCTTTTACTCATTCCAACGCATTCATTGAAATGCGACGTGAATAAATATAGTAAATTTTGACAGAGCGAAAGAAGAATGAAAAGAGAAAGAAGTTCAGATAGCAACCATAGGAACGCTAAGTTTACGCTAGGTAACTTGCTTATTTCGCGCATGCGCACTTCATTTTGGCCAACACTAACATCAAAGGTACCGACAGAGAGTTGCGCTACTGTATATACTGTGATAGTGACATCTTTGATTCATTTTTTACATTGTATTATATATCGTTCTGTCTCACTCAACGCATACATCTGTCCTTATCTAACATATGCCAGCACCATCTATCGCAAGACTGCGCAACTACTAAACGGAATTTCGGCTCTGTTGACACTCCCAGTCTTCGCAAAGTATTCGTATACACGTATTTTCCATTCGGTGAAAATACTTTTCTTCTAGACTTTCAATCTTAGTTTTACAAACTCGGTATCGTTCGTTCCAGTAATGTGACCTCAGCTGCACGCTTATTTTCAAGATATGGACTATAAAACTCATGTATCAAGCAAATATAGACCTGAGGTGACAGCTATACGAGCCAAAAGTAAGTGTATTTTTTAATATATAGCGAATAGTATAAGTTAGCTTTTCTCTCTTAATTGTTTTTGTTTTGTGTCTTTATTGTCCGTTATAAATTATAAAATGTTCGACAAACACGTTACGTTATCCGGAGATGTGAGACTGAAATTAACTAAATGGATATAATGAAGATCAGATTTAATTGTTGTTAATATAAACTTACAAAGCTCATGAAACATGTTGAATGTTCCGTTTGAGGTGAGTTACTTAGATTTTTTTCTTTTGATAAGTCAATTTATTTTTGATATTTCAATCAGGATCCACTACAGTCGGGAACCTGTAAGTGACTCATGTTGACGGAATACTCAACATATTAATTACACATATGTATTGCTGAGGACTCCAAAGTGAGTCGAAACGTTCAATAAAGAGGATTCTACACATTTATGATTAATTAAGATTGAAATTAATCGTTGGCACCTTCATCAGCCCGTGACTCGTATGGCCTTTACGGATTGTGTTATTATTATTTTTATTTTAAGAATTCGAGTCTACAGAAATTGTTTGTATTTTTTAACTTTTTTCGATTTTCTCGTGAAATCCAGTGCAACTGAAGTCCTGCTTGTGCGTACTTTAATTCTGTAATAATAATTTTGCAATCCGTAAATCCAATTCGGAGATTTTTCACCGAATGGAAATGATGGTAAAGTATATAGGACGACTTTAGCATCCTCTTAAAGACGTCATATAGACGTCATACTTCCAAAATATCTCATGAATTTTAGGACGTCTTTATAATATCTTACAAGACGTCTCAATGTTTCTGGAAAAATAATATATATTATTAGATAGAACAATACATATTATAAATATAATGTATACTGATAATTTACCAATTTTTGAAGAAATAATTTTTGTCAATAATCGGAAAAATAGATTGAGTATTTTTCGACTGTCAGTAAAATTACAAGTAAATCAGTAAGTCAGTAAAATAAACAAGTTTATCAGCATATGCAATTGAACAAATTGTATAATTTGTAATTACCGACATTAATTATCGAGAAAAATTTAATAAATAAAATATTTAATAAAAGTGTCAGGAGATTGTAATCGGATATATACGAAGTAATTTTACTTATTGAAGATTTAAGGGGATGCTGGAGCCGCCTGTATTATCGACAAAACTAGCATTTTTGACGTTCCTGTTGAATTTCTTCATAGTGATTTCACAGAATAAAAATTCTTTTTCTACGATTAAAATGTACATGCCAATGTATTTGTCGCAGGTGTATTTCGTGTTCAAAGTTTGAAAAAATAAAAAATTACAGATTTTAATCCATTTAATCTTCAGCGTTGGTCGCTATACTGAGGAAAAATAGATAAAGAAATCTGTAATTTATTTTTTTCAGTTTTGAACACGAAATACACCAACGACAAATACATTAGCATGTATATTTTAATCGTGGAAAAGGAATTTTTATTCTGTGAAACCACTACGAAGAAATTCGACAGGAACGAAAACGTGAAAAACGCTAGTTTTATCGGTAATACAGGCGGCTCCAGTATCCCTTAAGAATATTTAAAATTTTTTGAATTATGAGAAAATCTAAATTTTGAAAAAATATTAAAAGCATATAATATAATCCGAAAAGTATATAAATCCTAATAAGACATTTAAAATTTTAAATTCGTAACAAAACCTGCAACGATTTTTATAATTCTAAATGTGGAATTTCAAATCAAGACAATTTAAATTCTCAAGAATCGTTGAAGTATGAGGGAAATGTGATTGAGTAAAAAATAGCATGTATTAAAATTTTATGAATTATTTAAAAAAAAATTATACACTTGCACATATACACAAAACTGAACTTCCAATATAATATATATGCATATTTATTTGTAGATAAACTTTCTCGCTTTAATGTTCGTCATATACTCCGAATTATACTGAAACTCTTCACATACGATGTTCAATAGGCAATTGAATCTGAAACAAGAAAATAAATAAAATTTATTTTTATATGTAAACAAAAAATATTTGCGTTAATTTTTTAAAAATCAACTTTAACGAATTATTACAATTTCGATTTAATAATAAGCGCATATTGAAAAATTACATAGATTATGTAAATATCTATAATTTACATAGAAATTAAATAATAAATACAATAGAATCATTATGCACAATATTTATATATATTTTTAACGAATAATAGTATTCGGTTTGCTGCCCATATAAGTCGAG